AAAAATCAAATAAGACACGTGGGTAGTGTCGCGAAAAATCACATGAAGGGTTAAAACGCAGCAACTCTCTGAAATGGCATTGAAGAGTCATGTGGTAAGGACAAATTGTCGCAGTGGTTTTATTGTGCAACGAAGGTAAAAGTACGCTTCTAAATGGGGATGCAGACGGACTCGATTTTCAAAGGACTAATAGACTATCATTGCTAGAGTTAGTTTTAGACTTGGAAGGCTCTCTGAAGATCTAAATGCTGAGGCAGGGTATGAACACCATAGCTAAGCCTAATTATAAGTAAGCGAGTTCCTACCAAAAGGAAAAGTTAAATTCATCAAATTGCATTGAGTCATTCGGGAAAGTTATTATTACACACCTATGCAGGAATTTTAAGTCTACAGAACGGAATATCGTGTCAAGAGTAGAACCGAGTACACATGTAACAACCATTTTTGCAAAAATCTGCATAATCCCCCTTCTATACGAGTTGGAAAACTCAAATTTCCGGGAAAAAGGAAAGAGGGAAAGGTGGGTATTTTCCTTACCAGAAGATAAACAGACACACCAAAACCGATTATGGCCAACACCGAGAGGGCTCCAATAAATTTTCCGACGTCCTGATTGAATTTGAATCGCATGGGCTTTGGAAAGAGAATAGCCCGAACCATTTCACCTTTAGCTGTTCGAAAACCTGTTCGCACGACCACAGCGGTAACAGATTGGTCTGCAAAGTTGCGCGTCTGGATAACTGATGTCCCACAAAAAAGCATGCTCTTAGAGGCCGATTTTACCTCAAACTGCTGTGCATTCCCACCGGCCGCATTTGCCGCGACATATGGGATTTTGGTTACCGGAACACTTTCACCTACGAAAAAAATAATTTAAAGACATTAAAATAACAAATTAATAATTTTAAAAGGTGCATCTTCCGGAGAAATGGGATGCAGCATTAGATAAGGTTAGGATCGAATTTTAAAAGGCTGACCTGAAACTCGATCGAATCGTTAGAAAGAATACTGATATCAGATATGCTGGTTTCTTTCGATCTACCACGACCGCTTATTCGTCAGACTCGACAACCTGTCTATTTCGCCAGTTTACTATCAGCTACTTTTGGAAACGTCTGTTGGCCATCGACTAGGTTAATCGAAGAAAGCTCTCTTCGGGGAACAAG